GGGGGGGGGGGGGGGGGGTGGGGGGGGCGGGGGGGGGGGGGGGGGGCAGAGGAATTTTTCTAAGACTGTTGGCGCTTGAGACAGGTCAGCCTGGGTTTGGCCCAAACTTCTTGGGCTTCGTTTTCTTCATCTGTAAAATGCAGCTCAAGACCTTGCAAGACCCTCCATGGTATGGCTTTCCAGCCTCTTTTCCTGTCATTCCTATTATCTGTGCTCTAATAATTCCTCAGATGAAGCATGGTCTCTTTGCAGCTTCGAGCCTTTGTACATGCCCTTTCTTCCTCCTGGAAGCCCCCCTTGGCGTGCCAGCACAGGCAGCCTGCCCTCATTCTTCAGATCCTAGTGTGTGTGTTAGTCAGGACCGGGTGGGTTATGCTACAATAACAGGCAACCCCCAAGTCTCCGTGGCTTGGCACAGCCATCTGCTTCTGGCCCCGGCTGCATGATGGACGCTGTTGATCGTGGTCACTCTGGGACCCACGCTGATGGGAGCTCCATCTCCACTTGTACTGCAGCGAACAGGAACAAATGTGCTGGAGGCCACACTGGCTTCTAACGCTCCTGCCCCGAGGTGACCCCCCTTTATTTCTACTCACATTTCATTGACCAATGCAAGTCATGGCACCACACCAAACTTGAGAGGTGGAGGGGAAAAATGCCTTCCTACTGGGGGAAGCTAAGAACCAGAACACTAGTGAGCAGACCCAAAGATTCCCACATTTTGGGATTATTTCTTCAGGAGCCTCTTCCCTCACTTTGCTGCCTGCCTGAGCTCGGACGGTTGCTGGTGAGTCATTGGAGCTGCCTTAGCGTTCCTGTGGCTTCCCTCCCCACGCCACGTCCCACGCGCCCATTGTAAGTGCCTCTTTGCTTGCCCCTCTCCCTCTCTCCCTGGCTGAGCTCCCTCGGTCAGTGTTCACCGTAGTACCCTCGTGCCCGCCCCTGCTATGGTCGGTGAGTCGTCCTCACTGTGCAGAGGATGAAGAAACAAAGACCGAGCAAACTTGCAGGGTCACTTTGCTGTGGTGTTGTGATGAGGGAAGGTAAAATAAGAATAATAAGTGCGTCCGGTAGTCATAAGGACCAGCTTAGGAAGTGTTTGTGGCAGGGGCTTGTAAGAGGCCCTCCTTGTGCGTGTGGTGGTGAGACGAAGAGGAAGGGAACAGAAGGAGCTGACATCCAGTAAGCACTCACACGTGCCAGACCCTCTTACAGCTTCTTGGCGGAAGTTAACTGGTGCGGCGGTTCTCACATGTTGGGACTCATGTTGCATCTTGGTCAGTTTTCAAGTGATTCATAAGTAATTTGCTATAATCATTAGTAAGATTCTGAAGATTGCAACTTGACTTGTTTCAGGTGATTTAGAGATTGTATGGTGCAATTTCTGTGGCGCTCATTTGCGCTGCGTCTCTAGTGGGAGAGAAGGGGGTAGAATTGCTTCCTTTTGTTGAGCCATTCACATGGGCCAGGGTCAGCACTAAACAGTTTATACGTGCACCCTGTCTTAACACCTTCACACTATCTCCATCTTACAGATGGGAACTCTGAGGAGACAAGTCAGTCACGCATGTGGTAAGTGGCCAGAGTGCGCTGGCTCAAGTTTTCAGCAGTCCTCTTACTGGCTGTCCTCACCTGACTCTCCAGGAACTTCACTGGGCCCCGAGCACACCCCGGGCATGCTTCAGGAACGTAAAGATCACCACGATGGAGAGCAGAGCTAGCAGACAGAGTGATACTAAATTCTCAGCTAGCAGCTAACATGTGGGATGATTTTGTTGAATGTTTTTGTGTTTTGTTTTTTAATCAGAGTAACCAGGGAGCACAGGGAAATGCTGGTGAAACTGGCCAAGCAGAACACCAACAAGGCCAAGGATTCCTTGCAGAAAGTTCGTACCAATGCAATGAATAAGCTGAAGAAATCAAAGGACAAGGTCTCAGAGGACACCATTAGGCTCATAGAGAAACAGGTACTGTTGCCAGCAGATGTGGTACTTGTGGGTCTGACCCAGGGAACCACCTGGTCATGTGTGAAGAGAGGAAGACTAAAACAAAATACCCCTGATTTGTTCCTTGACATGATGAGGATTGGCTGAGTCTCTGTTCTAGGCTTAGCCCTGGGAATGTGGAGGAAGAGAAGACGCTGTTGGCTCTTCCCTGGGTTCCAGGCTCCGTGCTGAACACTTTCTATCATTTCATTTATCATTGTTGCTACGTAGTTGTGAAGGAGGTCCTGAGGAAACTGAGGTTCGGAGCAGCTAAATAACTTGCTCCGGGTCACATGCGGGTCCACTAGAAATGGATCCCAGAGCAAGCAGACTAACTTCAGAGCTGGATGCCGACACACTCGTGTGCATGTGTGGTGGCTTGTCTGGGTGCTGGCAAGTGAGGACTTATCAGTGTTCTTACTGCAGTGAGAGGTGGCACTCGAACAGACTGCAATGAAGTAGAGCCTGGGGACAGGTTGAATAACACGTGCAGAGGTGTGCTGTGTAAAGGAACGTCATGCGAGTGGGTGATTGCTGCGTGAAGATGGCTGAGGCTCGGGAGTGGACAACACAGCAGCCAGCTGGGTTGATCAGAGTGGGGCTTGGAGACCTGGCTGAGCAGCTGGACCTCCAGCCTGTCCAGACTCCCCCACACTGGCTGTGCAGCTCTGCCGGTTGTCTGTGAGCACACCAGCACTGCGTGACGGACCATCTCACAGCTCAGTGATGTACAGGTCCAGGCTCTATTTCTTGGTCTCCTTTCTGTGGGTCAGCTGGGGAGTCGCTGTCCTAGGCTGGGCTCAGAGGGCTTGGCTCCTGGGTCCAGATGTTGGATTGGGTTCAAGTCTGCTTTATCTTCTGGAGTCAATCTTCTGGAGTCAGTAAGCTTTCCAGGACATCTTATTGTATCTTGTTTTATCTTTTCTCTTTTTCTCTTCTTATTTATTTATTTATTTTTAAGTTTTATTTATTTGTCAGAGAGAGAGAGAGAGAGAGAGAGGGAGCACAAGCAGGGGTAGCCGCAGACAGAGGGAGAAGCAGGCTCTCCGCTGAACAAAGAGCCCAGTGCGGGACTCGATCCCAGGACTCTAGGATCATGACCCAAGCTGAAGTCGGGTGGCTTAACTGACTGAGCTACCCAGGCATCCCCCGCAGGACATCTTTTCAACAGCAGATCCTAAGAACATAAGCCCAACCATTCAAGTACATTTGAAGCCACTCTTGGTACATCACACGGGCCAAGCCCAGTAGCACCAGGACAGAGAAATATCTAAGTTTGTGGAGGTCTAGGGGAGGGCATGAAGATTTGTTGAACAATGATCGAATCTACCACAGCATTACGATAACTTAAGGAGCTTATAAAAATACAGGTTTCTGGGACCCCACACCCAGATTGGGGCCCTACAGATCTGCATTTTTAAATGTTCCCCAGGTGATTCTGATTCAGTAAGTCCTTGGAAAAACTTTTTTTCCCCCCAGACAGTGGGGAGTTCCCATCTGTGTTTATGAAAGCTACTATGGTGACTGGGTAGAAGACAGATTGTAAGGATCAAGAGGGGAAGCAAGGAAGCCAGGGAGGCTGTTGTGGAAATCCATCCAGGAAATGGTGGCCTGAACCTGAGTGGTACTGGTGGAATTAAGATAGAAAGATGAATTTACCAGTATTTAAGAGATAGAATAATGTTTAGCATAATACGAAGGGCTTTGCCCAAAGCCTCTACATTCACCACAAAAGCATTATTTTCAGAAGATTGAATGTGAGTGAGGAGGCAGGGAGCTTGAGCGCTGTCAGAGGGACATCTGGAGGAGGCCATAAATTGACTAACTGCTCCCCTTCTCCTGGACCAGCAGTTAGAATGCCAGTTGTAGACCAGCCCTAACAGTCACCTAGGAAAAAATTTTAGATGGATGCCTGGGCTCTGCTCCTGCCTCTGCTAACCTTTAGTAGGTCTCCCCAAGAGTGTATACTTTCTAAAAGCTCCCCAGATAAATTTGCAAAAGCAGACACAGATGGTAATTAAGGATCTAGAAGCCTTATGGAGTATCCCTGTGATGGTACCAGAGTTAGATCAGGGTTGTTCTGCATTTGATATCCTGTGACCTTAAGGACATTACTTGACTCCTTGCAGTCTGTTCTGTAGAAAGGGATTTGTAATTCTTACTGCAAAGGGTTGCCCTGGACGTGCTAGAAGCACCATTAGAGTGTCTGGCAGCTGGACCCTCGGAGCTCCCTTCTTGCCTTCCTTGTGCCCTCCTCTTGCCTTGCACCAGCTAGAAGAGGTTCCTAGATTAGGCTGGTCTTCTCTGAGCACCAGTCAGGCAGTGTAGCAGTGTGTCCTTGGCCCCAGCTGGGCCAGCTCCTGGTCCGTCCCCAGGGACTCCATCTCTGCTGTCAACACTTAACATTTCCCGTGCTTCTTTGCGGTAAGCCCGTGGACCTTGGGAAAGTGCCAGGCACTCCTCACTCAGCAAGACTGTGCCTCTGCCTCAGGGGCCAGAGCCCACATTCCCTGGAAAGGGGAGAATGATCAGATGAGCAGTAGTCTTGGTCAGACCCGCGTGGCCAAGACATGGCCAGAAGCCTTCACATGAGCACCTCACGTTTCACATTCCTCCTCGGGTTAGATTTGTTTCCTCAGTGCTTATTTCTGTTGATTGTTGTTATTTTTCAAAAGGAAAATAACTGTATTAGTTTTTTCTGATACTAAGCCGTACGTGTTAGTGTAAATTTGTTTTGATTCAGAAGGAAGTAATTGCAATTCCATCACCCAGAGATGACCACTGTTAACATTCTAGTGCAGACCTACATGCCATCTGTGAGGACGTGTAATATTACAAGGGATCACAGTGTACGCACATAACGCACCCAGGGCAGTAATCTTTATTATCCAGGACATTATTATTTAAAGATGAGTTCTTACTGTCACTGTTAATAACTGCCTTTACTGTCACATATTAAAAGTGGAGTGAGAAAATCTTCAGGAGACAGCCTTGTGCACACTTTGTTTTGTTCTTTTCCCCTGACAGGAGACACTAAGCTGGAGTTTTGAGTATGTGGTTTTTGTTTCTGTTTTTTAAATAAGCAAAGCAGGGGGCTGATTGTTTTATCAAATTTTTAAAAATTTATTTGTTTACTTTGTTCCTGATTATCCGAGTAATGTATGCTTACTGTAGAAAATATAGAGAGTTCAGAAGACTGTTTTAAAAAAATGGGGGAAAATTCACACCATAAACCCACATTGTAGAAGCAACTGCATTTTGCAGTATTTTTAACATTTTGCAGTATTTCTGCTTTCCTTCTTTTTTTTTTTTTAACTACATAGTTTTTAACATGGCTGAATATGTAGTGTGCATATGGTTTTGTACTCGGCTTTTTATTTTCTGTTTAGCATTAAAACCATTATCATTTTCTCATGTCTCAGAAAACTGTCTATAAACAGCCATTTCTGATGGTTGCAAAATAGTCCCTCTTGCGGTTATGCCATAATTCACTTTCATAAGCCTCTTGTTGGACATCCAGTTTGTTTAAACTTTTTTGTTATAAATAAGGTTGCAGTGAATATTTTTATACATAAATCTTTGTTGAGATCATTTCCCTAGGATAGAGTCCCAACTGTGGAATTATTGCACAAGGGGAGTGCATATTCTTAAGACTCTTGGTATGTACTGCCTAAATCACTTGCAAGGGTTTTTAGAATATGTGTATTTTTAAAAATTTTTATCTTTTCTAATCTGTAACATTTGAACCCAGAATTTTTTTTTTTTAAAGATTTTTATTTATTTATTTGACAGAGATCACAAGTAGGCAGAGAGGTAGGCAGAGAGAGAGAGGAGGAAACAGTTCCCTGGCGAGCAGAGAGCCCGATGTGGGGCTCGATCCTAGGACCCTGGGATCATGACCTGAGCCGAAGGCAGAGGCTTTAACCCTCTGAGCCACCCAGGCGCCCCTGAACCCAGAATTTTTAATGTGAGCTTGAAGTGCTGCTGACCTTAGAAGTATTGCTTTCACTTCTACATGCCACAGAAAAGATTAAGTTAGTTTTTATATAAATCTATACAGCCTTTCTAAAGGATAATATAGCAGTATATACCAAAATCCATGTATTTCTGACTCAGAGGCTTAAGAATTTATCCAAAATAAATTGTCAAGAAATCTTACCTGCAGAGGTGTCTGTTGATGTATTATGTATAATAGCAGAAAATTAAAAACTGTCTAAATTTCTGACAGTGGGAAAATAAATTGTTGTATATCCATATAGAGGCAGTTTTAAAAAATATTTTGCTGGGGTGCCTGGGTCGCACAGTTAAGCGTCTGATTCTTGGTTTTGGCTCAGGTTGTGATCTGAGGGTTATGAGATCAAGCCCCATGTTGGGCTCTGCACTAGATGTGGAGTCTGCTTGAGACTCTCTCCCTCTCCCTCTGTACTTCCCCTCCATGCTCTCTCTCTCTCTCAAATCTTTAAAAAAATTTTTTGCAGGGACGCCTGGGTGGCTCAGTTGTTTAAGCAGCTGCCTTCGGCTCAGGTCATGATCCCAGCGTCCTGGGATCGAGTCTCACATCGGGCTCCTTGTTCTGTGGGGAGCCTGCTTCTCCCTCTGCCTGCCACTCTGTCTGCCTGTGCTCGCTCGCTCTCTCTCTCTCTTTCTGACAAATAAATAAATAAAAATCTTAAAAAAAAAAAAATTTTTTTTGCAGGGGCACCTGGGTGACTCAGTTGGTTAAGCATCTGTCTTTGGCTCAGGTCATGATCTGGGGGTCCTGGGATTGAGCCCCATGTCTGGCTCCCTGCTCAGCAGGGAGTCTGCTTTTCCCTCTCCCTCTGCTCCCCACTCATGCTCACTTGTTCTCTCTCTCTCAAATAAATAAATAAAATCTTTAAAAAAATATTTTGCAGACATGGTAAATTTCTTTTGGAATTAATTTTTTTAAGGTAGGTCACACAACAATATTACAATATGACTCCATCTTTGTGATGAAAATTTTCATCATAAAAGGATTGGCAGCTTAGGAGTGCCTGGCTGGCTCAGTCAGTAGAGCACATGGCTCTTGATCTTGGGGTTGTGAGTTCGAGCCCCATGTTGATTGTAGAGATTACTTAAAAATAAAATCTAAAAAAAAAAAAAAGATTGACAGCTTCTCTACTTGAGGACGTTAATGGTGGTCATTTGAGGCAATGAGATTATGAACAATTCCAATATTATTTTTCGTAGAATTTTTTTTTTAAATGTTCCCAAATTCTTTTGAGGTCAGATTTTTTAAAAACTATATTCTAAAAATGTTTCTTCTTTGGTGTATAAAAACGAAGGCATTGAGTTATAGATTCTATCCCTAGAGTCACGTCTGACACCCCCCACACACACACCCCCAACTTCCCATCCTGCAGCCCAGACCAGCTCTGCTGAGGAAGCACCAGGGCCTGCCCACTCCGGACTCTGACATCTGCCGGCCTGCTGTTTCAACCTTTGCTTCAGTTTACTATAAATGGGCCTGCTGAGCATTAAAGCGCTTGGCAGAAACACCAGTAGATCTGGCCAAGATCCTTTCACTGCCGCCTTTTTCTGAGAAACGGTGCTGCTCTGTAGTGGAGCTGGGTGCTAGTGGGCTGACGGAGGGAAGGCTCCAGGCGGTCAGGCGAGCAGGCAGGGAGGCTGGGTGGTTGAGGCAGTGGATGTTCTGAGCCAGGCCTCAGGGAGGCGGACTTGCTGCCCGCATGCCCCCTCCGTGCACTGTGCCTCCCCCTTTCCTGTCTCCGCCTTTCACATCCCTGAGCGAGAAAAGAGTGAATGTGATGATGATGATGACGACGACGACGAAGATGGTGACGATACGGTCTTTATGAGGCAGATGAAAATGGAAAGGGCCCTTGCTGTGGAGTCAGGCAGGCCTGACTGGTTGAAATCTCAGGTCTTTGACTTCTCAGCTGCGAAGGTAAGCAAATGGCTTCACCTTTTTGAGCTTCTGTCTCCCCATCTGTAAGGTGGGAGGAGGGGTGTGCATCTCCCAGGTTTGGTGCGAGGACCAGATGACACACATACTTTCAAGTGGCTGGTGTGGTTGCCAGTCCTCGGTAATTGTCCACCCCGTTTGTCCCATTCCTTTCCCCTTCCTTTGACTTTGAATATGGGGCTGGGATTGGCCATTGGAATGACCCTCACACAGCTTGCCTGGGGTGAGGAAGGACTAGGCCAGGTGCTGGGGATGCCTCACAGGGAGCAGCAGCACCAAACTGGCAGTCGGGGTATGTGAGTTCCTGGCTCAGTCACGCCACTGACTTTCTAACGGGACCTTGGGCGGATTAGTTAGCATTTACACCTTGGTTTATGGGGATAATGCCCGTCTCACCTGCTAAGGCAGGTTACGTGTGGTTGTTGGGATTGGACAAAACCCCTTTGCATATGCCATGTGTGACTGTGCAGCTGTCAGGTAAAATAGTCAAATATTCACAGTTTTTTAAAGGGACATAGTCACAGCATTTCATAGGTTTTGAGGGTTATGTGCAATAATGTGTGTAAAGTTTTTAGCCGAGTGCTGGCACATAGTAATACTCGGTAAGAGGGAGCTGTTGTTGGTGCTGTTCTTGTTGTTAGTCATCATTTTATTTTATTATTTTTTTAAGATTTTTATTTATTTTAGAGGGAGAGAGTGCATGTACGAGCAGGGGGAGGGGCAGAGGGAGAGAGAGAATCTCCAGCAGACCCCCTGCTGAGTGCAGAGCCTGAGTCAAGGCTTGATCTCATGACCTTGAGGTCATGATCTGAGCCAAAATCAAGAGTCGGATGCTCAACCGACTGAGTCATCCTGGCACCCCATGTTCATCATCATTATTTGAGAAGTCTGATAAAGATGGAAAAGGTGAACTTGCTGGCAAACTGTCCCAAACTGCACTCTGTGCCTATAATTTGGTAGAAAGTTAGTAAATATTTTCATTAATTGATTAATTTGAAGTCAGGAAGTAATAATAAAAATCAGAGTAGCACAAGCAGCATTTGCATAGCAAATAACCAGGTTAAACTCTGCTTGCATAGTCATGAACACATTCAGTCCTCACAACTACTCTCTGAGGAAGGGACCGGCATCCGCATTTGATAGATGAGGAAACTGAGATTCAGGAGCTTACACACTGTTACCCCGCCAAGAGTTTAACCCAGCACCCACATTATCACACTGTTAGCCTAGGTACTCTTCCTCTGCTCAGTCCCCATTCCTGTCTCCACACTGCCCTCGCGCCATTGTTCCAGAGTAGGCTTGCTGGAGTGAGCGCGGCTGGGCGTCATGCACCTGCCGTGCAAGGCAGCGGCTCTCCATGGGGATGGCAGCATCTTCAGAGCCTGTGGCCCAGTGAGGAGGGACCAAGCCGCTCTTCCAGCATGCCCAGCAGCCCCCAAAGCCGTGCCTTCCACCTGCTGCAAAATGTGCAGCTGTTGCTATGGCGAGAGCCTGGTCGTCTCGGTGCCTGGGACCAATTGCTCCAAATCTTTTTTTGTTTACCCTTTCTAGTGCATTTAGTTCCTAGTTCTTGGCCAAGGCCTGTGGTCTGCAAATCAAGATGTCAGGCAGCCCCTGTGCCACTGAGGACACGGATCCCGGGCACCATACTTCAAGGCTTCCTGTCTTTGGTCCCTCTTAGACGTAGGACTGAAGCTGCAACCCTTATTAAGTTGTATTGTATTTTGTTCCTCACTTTTAGTGCATGTTTATTTTTGAAAATTTGGGAAGTATAGAAAAGCACAGAGAACTTTATTTAATAAATATTTCTTGAGCACTTGCTATACACTAGGTCTTTTGCAAGATATGACAGATGGGGACATGAATAATATATTACCTATCTTCCCATCCCTAAAAGATAAACACTATTAATATTTTCACATTTCCTTCCATTTTAAGAGATGTGCATTTTTTTACATATCTGATATCATTTCTACTATGTATATGCACAATTTTGTATCCTGCTTTTTCTTTAAAGGTAACATGAGGGGTGCCTGTGTGGCTCAGTGGGTTAAAGCCTCTGCCTTCGGCTCAGGTCATGATCCCAGAGTCCTGGGATCAAGTCCTGCATCAGGCTCTGCTCGGCAGGGAGCCTGCTTCCCCCTCTCTCTCTGCCTGCCTCTCTGCCTGCTTGTGATCTCTGTCTGGCAAATAAATAAAATCTTTAAAAAAATATATAACGAACATTTTCCCATGATATTATAAAGAATATCTTGAGACATTATTTCTTTTTTTCTGATTACAAAAGCAATCCATACTTGCTGTAAACATTCAAACATTTCAGAAATATGTACTGGAAATATGAACTCATATTTATACCCTTTTGGGTATATGTATTCTACTACTTCCCTGTTCTATTACTTTAGATTTTCTGATTTTTCATTATTCAGAATAAAGCCTAGATAGGGGCACCTGGATGGCACAGTCAGTTAAGCATTGACTCTTGGTTTTGGCCCCATTTGTGATTGGTTTTGGCTTGGGGCGTGATCTCAGTCGTGAGATCAGGCTCCATGCTCAATGTGGAGTCTGCCTGAAATTCTCTCCCTCTGAACCTTTCCCATTCACTCTCTAAAATAAATAAATCTTTTTTTAAAAAAATAAAGCCTAGATAAATATCTTTGCATATGGAACTTTAGAAATTTTTTTCAGATTCCATTCATGTGGTAATTTCCCAGTTGAGAGATTTGGGGGGTTAATAAATGGTATGGACATTTGCATCAATTCAAATTCCTATCATTGCTATATGAGCTTATTCATTTTACCATAGCTTTCTGGCGTGGAATGTTGTCATTAAAAAACTACAACATCAAACTTCGTTAACTACGGTAACTGAATTATATCTTGTTTTAATTGGTGTTTCTTCAGTGTCTGTTGAATTTTCCATGTTTGTTAACCATATGTATTTCTTGTTTTTTCAAGACTTCTTTTTTTTCTCCACTTAACTACTAGGATCTTGATAGTCTTACCAGTTAGTATGAAGGCTTTACACAGCAGAGTGTCTGAGGTGTAGGAAATTCTAGAGGGTCATTAGGTGACCGACAAGGCTGACTTCTCTGTATTCTATAATAATAGTTAAGAATTTTGGGCTGTGGAATCAGACTACTAGGGATTAAAGTTCATCATTGCTACTTTCAGCTGTGTATCCTGACAAGTGCTCTAACTGCCTCAGTTTCCTCATCTGTGAAATGGGGATAATGATAGTATCTATCTCATGGGGCTGCTGTTGGGAATTAGTAAGAGTGTGTATATAAAGTTCTTAGCACGGTGCCTGGCTGGGACGAAATAATGTGAGATTTTGTCACCATCCATATTTCCCAGGTAACTTTTACCTAGTTTCGGAACGTTTGGCCCCCTCCCCTTCCCCAGCCCCAGTTACCGGGCCGTCTCATTCTGTGTTCCTGCAGATTAGCCAAATGGCCGATGACACCGTTGCAGAGCTGGACCGGCATCTGGCAGTGAAGACCAAAGAACTCCTTGGATGAGAGTCCCCCCAGGGCAGCAGTACTCCGGATCCCGGTTTCTGGTGGATCCCATGGATGGCAGATTGGCCCCTTTCTTCTCTGCCCACACGGAAGGCTGTCACATGCGGTTACCAGTCTTTGTGAGGCTCAGGCTTCTAGTGCGACACCCCGACTTGGGCACTCTCTTCCTCCTGTTCCCTGTCCACCCCATTCTGCTCTGGCCCTCTGCCTTGGGAGGCCCTCAGAGCGTACCAGCTGTGACGGGTGGCCTCTACTTAGGGCATTTGCCTGATGGTGACATTGCCAAACGACTAGGACTATCAGCGGGCTCAGCACCGTCTGTTTCTCATCTCGGGAGCCTCCTTTTCAGTTAGTTGGGCCCCATCCCTGGCTTTGAACTCTGGGCTGATGTGGGCCTTCGCCTGTGACTGGATCCCTTTGCTAGAGGCTTGTTTTTACCGAACAATAAAATCAAAATCAATTGGAAAGAATAATCACCACAAAGGAATGGATAGTCTGGATTCATGGTCTCTGAGGACCCATATGTAAAGCCACTGGAACAGTTTTTGCCTCTGAGTCATCCTCGCACGTGCTCTTTTCTCTGCCCACACCGTTGTGCCTCTGCTGGCCTACCTGGCCGGTCCTGGTCAAGGACCAGCTTGGGTATCACCTCCTCTGGAAAGTCTTCCCTTCCCCCCAGCCTGGGACTCCCCTTATTGGCTGTCAGCACTGCCCACTGCTTTTATCTGAACGTTCACTAGTCTTTGTGATAATTAGTCTGTATATCTTTATTTTCCTCAGAACTTGGCATAATGCCTAGACCATAGTAGGCATTCAGATGTGTTGTAAATGAATTGTACAAAGTAGCTGCTCAACAAACACGGCCTGCTTTTCCTTTCTTTCCAGTCATAACACCATCACTCTGTCATTTTCTACTCTTGCCTTTGTCCTCAACATTTACTTGGTAATGAGATAGGTTTCCCACAGGGCCTGCCTGTTGTTGACAGACGAGTGCTTTGTTGTGGCTTATCTTTGGGTACTGGGTAAAGTAAGGGTTTTTTCTTTCTAGTAATATTCTTTTCTTTTTTCTCTTCTCTGCTCTTTTCTTCTCTTTTCATTCTCTCATTCATAACATACAGCTAGAGACAGTTCTAGGCATCACCTTTAATCTTGGTAAACCTGCAAGATAATGTGTTATCTTCATTTTATAAGTAGGAAAACTGAGACTTGACAATATTAGATAACCCCCAAAGTAACAAGCCTAGTAAGTGATAGAGGGTTTCATTACTCATTGTCAGACTCATTTTGCAGAGACAGGGGAGCTCAAGAGAGGTTAAATTTCTTGCCCAGGGTTACACAGCTAGCGAGCAGCCGAGCTGGGATTCCGACTGACGCCTGATCTGAAGCTTGTGTTCTACCCACGGCATCCTGCAGCCTTCGTGAACATTCAGTGAGCGCCAACTGTGTGTCAGGTACCGTGCGTGCTCCAGGCTGGGCATGCAAAACTGGGTAAGACGTGACCTCTGTCTTGGAGGGGTGCACAGCACACTGGACTAAGTCGTTAGCCACAGTGTCTCGGGTGGAAGATAGGAAGTTCATTCCCATCTTGCCAGATGTCTGCCTTTAGAGTGGAACGACTTGGGCAGCTTGGGGCCTGGCCGCACTCCTTCGAAGCAGCATCCGACTTTTCTTTGCTGTCTGACTCCTCTTAGATCCTGTCCCTTGCGGGAAGTCTGCTCTTCGCCCTCTGCTTGTCCTGGTAGAGCACAGTGTACACAGCCCGTTGGGGTTCAAGGTCAGAATCAGGTAAAAAATGAAAGAAGCTAACCTAGTCTCCTGCCCCACTTACCTGTCCTCAATCCAGCGCCATTCACCAGCCCCGAGTAGCCACCGCACGATCAGAAGTCAGGTGGGGGAGGACAGGGATAGACTCAGCAATCAAGGAGCCGTTTTCGGGGTAAGCCACACGGCAGGGGCATGGCTGAAATCCCCCACTCACAGCAAATGTGCTCCTCAAAGATGCAGGATTTTTTAATAAACAGAGGAAATGATAAATTATGTTGTAACTCCACTCCAAAGGCATTTGGTTCTTAACAGCCAAATCCTCTGTAGTCTTTAAATAAACAAAAACTTATTTGGTGAACAGACGGGCTTGGGGAGGGGTTGGAAAATGAAAGATTTTCTGTACTTGGGTCCCACATGTCAACAATTTCTCTCCTGTGTGTATGTTGGCCAAAGCTGTATATCATGATAAATGAATAAAGGAAAACCTCGAGCCCAGGGCAGTCAGACAGCTCAGCAAATGGCTTTCAGCTGATTGCTCTATTTCAGTTGACATTTATCAAAGAGTTTCTCTGTTCTTCTGTGTCGGGCTGTGGTGGTGGCAGGGACCAGGATGAGACTACCTGTTCAGGTCTACTGAGTAATGAGCAATGCTGGAGCAATGCCTTCTCCCTTTCTCCTTCCTTGAACCTCTTTCTTTCAAAAGGAAAAGCTGCGGATGGAAATTTCTACCCTCACCAGAAGGATTAACCTCCTCCTCCATTGAGCTCATGAGCTTTCCAAGTCCCATGAAACACACAGGCCAAAGAGACTTCAAAAACTTTTGTCTTGTTTGTTTTTTTACTTTCTTACATGCTCATGTGTGTGTGCGTTTTAGAAGTTACAAAAGAAACTGAAATATAAAAAGTTAGACCAACTTCCCAATCTTACTCCCCTTTAATGATTAGATGTTTATCCCTCCAGACCTGTATACTTACATAATTTTTAAAAAGCAGAGGACGAAACAATTCTGTTCATATTGTGAAGCTTGCTTTTTTTTTTTTTTTTTTTAAACCCAATAACACATGATGGCCACCTACTCATATGTGAACCTGGAGATACAACTCACCCCCTTTTCATGGCAGTGTGCTATTCCATACTATGGATGTACCTTAACTTACTTCACTGCTATCCCTGTGATATATTTTTTAAAGATTTTATTTATTTATTTGACAGCGAGAGACACAGTGAAAGAGGGAACACAAGCAGGGGGAGTGGCAGAGGGAGAAGCAGGGTTTCCACCGAAGCAGGGTCCCCAATGTGGGGCTCTATCCCAGGACCCCCCAGCCGGCTCATGATCTGAGCCAAAGGCAGACACTTAATGATTAAGCCACCCAGGTGTGCCGCCCCCATGATATTTTAAAAAATCATTTTATAGGGGTGCCTGGGTGGTATTGTCTGTTTGGGTGTCTGACTCTTGGTTTCGGCTTAGGTCTTGATCTCGGAGTCATGGGATTGAGCCCTATGTGGGGCTCCAGGATTGAATCTGCTTGGGCCTCTTTCTCCCTCTCCCTTTGCCTCCTGACCCACCCCCCTCAAATACATAAGTGAATCTTGAAAAAAATCATTTTATGTGCATTGGAGGATGTTTTCATTTAAAGATGACTTTCTTGCCTTTTGAGAAAAAAGAACCGCTATTCTAAGTTTATCTGTTTTGGTGAGTTTTACTTACTTTTCCTCAACCTCAGACTAACCTTTACTGCATGCCTGGTTCCATGCCTGACACTTCACATGAGTTACTACAGTTAAACTTCTGAACAGTGTCAGCTGGTGTCACTACTGCTCCTATCTGTTTACATACAAGAAAACCAAGGTTCAGAATGGGCATTCATCTTGTCCAAGGTCACACAGCTAGTCAGTGCCAGAGTGCATTTGAAACTCAGATCTGACTTGGAAGTCGGTCCTTAATCAGTGCACTTCGGGTGGTAAGTCTTCAAAAAAGCTTACTCAAAATGCTCTGCTCCAGGCCCCGAAGGTGCTAGAAGCAGAAAGCCCCCTCTCATAAAACAATTAGCTATTTCTAATAAAGGTGTGTGTTGAAAGCTGCATGGGAGGTGGCACACCGTAAACACAGAAGGGATGACGGTGAACGTTTATATTTGCATATTTCCACCTCCCACCTGCGGGGCAGACTCCGCTAGAACTTATAAGAGAACTAGCGGATAATGACAATAACGGCAGGAATAGCGTCGATGGCACGAATAACTAATACTGCCTTGGTCCCTTTCAGTTTTCAAAGTGCTCCTACATCTCTATCCCCTTGAAAGCATTGAGCGAAGCTTTCCGGTTTCTTTTGCTCTAATACGTGGTCAGTTTCCATGATGTGCACTAAAGGGTATAGTCTCTGGTCGGGGGGAGTGTACAAATTTTGATATGTACACGGGAAATGTAGTTTATAGATTCTATTAGGTTTTCTGTATTCTTTTTCGGCCTTTTGGTGTGTTTCAGTCTCCCATTACTAGCATTCGTATTTCTTCTTGCACTTCCTGTAATTTCTGCTGGATGCCTTCCTGCGAGTTGTGTCTGTGCCCGGAGAGCCTGACTCTGCTCGTCTTCATCTCACTCGATGCTTGGAGTCTGAGTTCTGTCTTGTCCTCTATCAAGCACCCAGCCCCCACTTGCTTCTTATTTACATTTGCTTGGTGTAGCTTTCCCATTCCTTTACCTGTAGGTTTCTTTCTTTTTTTTTTTTTTTAAGATTTTATTTATTTATTTGACAGACAGAGATCACAAGTAGGCAGAGAGGCAGGCAGAGAGAGAGGAGGAAGCAGCCTCCCTGCCGAGCAGAAAGCCCGATGCGGGGCTCGATCCCAGAACCCTGAGATCATGACCTGAGCCGAAGGCAGAGGCTTAACCCACTGAGCCACCCAGGTGCCCCTCCCTGTAGGTTTCTAAATGACTGTTCTAGGCATGGTTTCTGTTTTAGAGCTGGGTTTTGTTCTGCGATCCATTTGGAAGCTCCTTTAAAAAATGACCTCTATCTTTAATTGTGACAAAATATCCGTAACCTTTGCCGCCTTAACCATTTGTAAGCACGCAGTTCAGCAGGAGCACGTGCATTCACATCGTGCAAGGAGACCTCCAGAACTCTCTTAGTTTTTGTGTCTGGCTTCTTTCACTCGGCACAGCCTCCTCCAGGTTCATCCACATCGTAGCAGGTGTCAGAATGTCTTTCCTTTTTGAGGCTGAATAGTGTTCCATTGCATGTATGTATGAAACTCCGTTTCTTTTAGGAGGTGACCAAACTCATTCACATGTACTGATAATCCTGAAATGTTAAGTAGAAGCCTACAGTTACTCTTCTTCTTCTTCTTTTTTTTTTTTTTGCATGCAGTATTAATGCTAGGTGGTTGGGCGTCTGAACCCTTAGCAGATGAGCGGCTAGGTGTTGGGTTGAGGAGAAGGGTTGCTTCTGCACAGAGAAGGCTCACTGCTTGAGTGAACAAACTCAAGTGAACTGCTTTGAAAGAACAAAGAAGCAGCGATCCCTGTCTCTCATATTTCTCTGTTCTGGTCTTTGTTTTAATTTGTCACGTGCTGTCAGGTTAGCTCAAGCTCAGACATAGCCTTCGTCACACCACTCTCCTGCTCCACACCCCTCAGTGGCTCCCAGTTGCCGCCGAATTGTGTACAGACTTCACCCGGCGTGCGGTAACTTCTGCCATCTAAGCCTCCGTAGCTCTTCAGTTGTGGTTCGCCTCTCACAACTACCCTAAGGCAACTAGGGCTTGAGCTCAATGCTGTTATTACCTTTTCTGAATTTTTGTGCCGCTTTCTTCCCCCTCCATGTCTTGTTTCAGGCTGTTTGCCTGCTAGGCGCTCCCTTAGATCACTGCCCTGCCCAAGAGACAAAATTTTTCTAGCCTTCACAGCTCCTTCTGGTCCTAATCCTTACACTCATTCATTTCTCTGTCTTGATGTTTCTCCTGACCCCTAAACGTGTGTGTGCCCATTGACCTGCGTATGCCTCAAGCGCCCCAAACTCAGCCAGCCCCCTCCGGAATACATGTCCCCGCCAGGCCCGCTCGCTGTCCCACGCTGCCTCTCGGGAATGCCTTCGCTGTCCACCCGGGTGCCAAGCCAAGACACTGGGAGCCACCCGCGTCTCCCTGTCCCTCATGCTCTCATCCAGGAGGTCACCAGGTCCCGTCAGTTCTACCTTCAAAGCGCTCTCCTTTCCGGGCACATCCTGGAGTGGTTCGCGCCAGGGAACATAAGCGTCAAATGTTTCAGGCTGGCCTCGCCAGTGTCTGGCCTTCCTCAGAGGCAGACCACCACTAGCACAAGACAGCCTCGTGTGAATCCCTGGAAAGAACGTTCCCTGCTCTTCTCCTGTGTGCATCCCCTGCCTAGCACAGTGCTTGGCTCGGAGCAGCTGTTAAGGAAATGTTTGTCCAATTGTAACGGGCCTGCCTGGCCTTGAATTCAAATGAAGTCAATTTACATCAATAACCCAGAGTTTCCCTAATTACTCTCACCTGTTTGCTCAGCCCTCCAACCTCATCTGCTGAGTCAGCCTCCAGGATTTCTGGGCATCTGAAGGCTGCCTCCCATGGTGTCCATGGTCACTGGCGTCCACCCTGCTCCTCTCCTGTCCAGGGTCCCCCTTGCTCGCCTCTGCAGCCATGAATGCCACCTGAAGCTTCGCCTTTGCTCCCTCTGGGAGTGCCCGTGTCTGTGACTGGAGTGCCGGCTCCTGGGCTTGGGGTGCCTGAACAAGCGAGGTGGGGTCCTGAAGAGGCAGGGTGCCGTGCCACCCTTGGCCCCGCAGAGCAGCCTTGCTGGGGTCCCAGGCCGGTATTCCCCATGACATTCTGCTCACAACCTGACCCCCCCCCTCCACCCTGGGGTGGGGGGGTACATGTGCCTCCTCTCCCAGGCTCTAGCCTCGGCCCAAATTGCCCCCCTCCACTTTGTGATAATAATACTAATCGTGGCTAACAGTCCTGGACCTTTCCTGTGCGTGAGGCTAGTTGTTCTATACTAACTAGGAAGCTAGTTATTATTTTTGCTCATTTTACAAATGAGGAAAGTGAAGCACAGCAAGGGGTTAAATTGTTCAGAGACACATAGGACCAGAGGAAGGCACAGAATGCAGGGGGTCTGGTGTCTGCCCCCCCCACACCCCAGGCAGCCTCCGGAAGTTCTGTCAGCGAAGAGACCAGAGGGGCCCCGTGGGATGAGGGAGTGGCCAACTGGCCAAGAGCTAAGGGTCATGTCCCAGCTTTGCCTTTTCCACCCAAAGTAAAAGCCACTCCCTTTCCCCATGGGTCCAGTGAGGGGCTTGCACAAGAGCAGTGGTTTCTGACTGGATGGGTCCCTGACAACATTGTCACCCATTTGGGGCACAATAAGTAAAATACACATAATGTTGCAAATGTTTTCATAAAATTATATTTATTTCACTTAAAGGACTATTCTATTACTGTTAGATCTTGCTCTTGCTACTTTCACTGCTGGTGTTAAAATGTTCTTTATA